AAAAAAAAAGATAAATGCTGGCTGGGGTGTGGTGAAAAGGGAACTCTCTTACACTGCTGGTGGGAATGTAAATTGGTCCAACCACTATGGAGAACAATTTGGAGATTCCTCAAAAATCTACAAATAGAACTAACATATGATCCAGCAATCCCACTCCTTGGTATCTACCCAAAGGATAGAAGAATACTTAATCGGAAAAGTGCTTGCACATCGATGTTTATTGCGACACTATTCACAATCACTAAGTCATGGAAACAACCCAAATGCCCACGAACTGATAAAAGGTTAGAAAAACTGTTGCACATATAATCAATGGAATACTATTCATCCATAAAAAACAACAAAACCCTTGGGACCAGTAGTTAGCGTAATGGCTATGTCGCTGAACTCCCACGTAGTCGACCATGGTTCACGTCCCGGCCCCGGTGGCTTAAACTCACGCCAGACGTGTGTGTGTGCGTGCCCAAGATCCTGAGAGGAGAATGGAGGAGAAGGGATTGCGGTGTGGCCATCCCCCCAGGGGGTGATTTCTCGCTTTCTATCTCTCTGTCTCTCTCTGTTTGTCTGGCGAGCGCACGTTCTCTATAGCAAAAACCTCTCAAAAAAAAAAAAAAAGAAAAGAAAGAAAAGAAAACAACAACAATAAAACCCTGGCTTTTGACAGGAAGTGGATAAATATAGAAGACTTACTGCTGAGTGAAGCAAGCCATGCTATGAAGGAGAGGCATTGTATGTCCCCACTTAATACATACTGAGTGTCTGCACTCTATGACTGAAACTAACTGACTAAAGGATATAGAAACACAGTATATAGATGTAAATACCAGATATAGTGTGTGTGAAAAAGGAGAATCTGAGGAAGGACATTGGGGGGAGGGACAGGGAGGCAAAGCATTAATGGCACAAAGAGGTGTGGTATCATCTATTGAAGATATTTTGTAGTTTATCAACAGTAGTAGGGAGAAATGTTCACCTGTTGAAATATCCATTTTGTAAGACAAATACTAATGTGATTGAATGTATGGAAGAAAATGAAATGAAAAAAAATTTAAATAAAAGGAAAAAAATATGAAAAAGGAAAATAAAGGAAAGTTAATCATTGATTTTAAATAAAAAACAGTGTCATGAAAACAGTAATAGGTCCAAAGAAATGAGTGTCTGGATTACCAGATATATTCATTTTCAATAAAGAGTAGTATTAGTTGGCACTGATTAGGATAAAATTCTAATGAAACAGTCATATTTTGGCAAGATACCTGAGTTCAGAGTAGTGTCCTGACAAAATGTGGAGAGGAATAAACATTACAAACGAGGCACATGTCTTCTTCGATCCCGTAAGTCAAGTCATCAAGGGCTCTGGTTCTACAACCTCACACTAGGTTTTGATTTTTAACTTTTTGCAACTGATTTCACATGGGAGGTACTTCCTCACTTTCTCTCTGTCTGTCTCAGATGAGTGTAAGCATCCTCTCGCAATTTTTTAAAAAGACAAAATAGAAGACAAATTTTTAAATGATCTTTCTTAATACTCAAAAATGTCAGCATTACTTCATTTGCAAAAAGCAACTTTCCTCAAAATAAAATTTAAATTTTATATAAATAAGACCTTGTCCAGTAATATTTTGCAAAATACTACACAATAACTAAAAAAATCACAGAAGAATTTATTAGCCACAAGTGTACATAAATTCAGCAGGTTTCAGGAAATTTCACACTCAGTACTGTTATTATCCAATTGAAAGAGATATAATTTGAAAGAGAATTGATAAGAATGCAAATATAAAACTATCTCTGTCTAGATCTGTATATTGTCTTGATTTATATGGCATCAATATGTTAAAAAGTTAATATATTTTACAAGAATATCTGAATGCCACAACTGTGTTATTTCAGGCCAGTAAGTTCAAGTTCGCAACCATTTTCAAAAGGAAACATCTTTGATCGTGGAGCTTAAAGACAATGCTTTATAGTTGAACAAAACCTTATAGATCTCAATGAGCTTTTGAATAATTGATGCCTTTTGACCTGAGCAACAATTTGGGTTCATTTAAAACATTTCAAAACCTTTCTTTAGTA